GTTTCAGCTGATATCTACTTTAGCAATAATTTTTATAACCTTCTAACTCAACAAAGAAAATAAAGGTATATCTTATCACTGTTTAAAAAATAAATATACATTTTTTAAAATTTTTTCTAACTCTCTGAAATGGAAACACAATCTGCATGGTGTCCTCCATCCTCACAAAAATCCCAGGACAAACTGCAGGCAGAGGAGACACCGTGGCCCATGGGCACATCTCCCAGAGCTGCTTGCAGCTGTAGAGCCCTGGCCTCCTGCAACTCCTACCTCACAGGCATAGGGCTGCGTGCTCTGGAACCCCATGCAGTCTTGCAGATTCATCTGACTGAACATTCAACTGACCCCTCTTTTACCCAGAGTCTGGGAAGTACATGAGGGGCTCCAGGAGTAGGATACCGCCTCAGATTCCAACTCAATCACACTCCCACAGCCCCCAGACCCTCTACTGGGCTTGCCTCCCCTTCTTCCCGTCTCCCCAGGCCTGGAGAGTGGATACTGAAATAAATGGCTACATCCTCTTCCTGCCCCAGAGACTCCAGCATGTTTGGAAACTCCACTTCCCCTTCCCTCTCCCGCTGGCTAACTTTCTATAGTTCCCACCTCTACCCCACCCCTGGAAGGAATAGTTCTAACTGGCTTCAGAAGGCTCCACAACCTGCCTTGCTCTTTCTTACCTCCCACAAATCCCACACAGATATTGCCTCTCTGAAGCCATCCCTAAGCAGGCAGGAACTGCTCTTGTCCTTGCTCTCCACTCCAGCCCCCGCAAACACATCTGGACACCTTTTCTGACTAAATCCAGTTACCATCACCCACATAAAAATAGGACCTGTCTCCCTGGGAGATTGCAGCCCACCATGTGTCCTGTCCTTGATTCCAATGGCAGGTCCAGGCTATGTTCAACACTGACCTCTCTGAAGCAGTCTCTGCTGGGCGGGCTCCTAGCACATGCCCTGTCCTTTCATCTTCTAAATTATCTAAGGTCCACTAGTTCCTGATAACCCTGGGCTAGAAGCTGTCTCTCTCTGCCTCCCTATCTTCGTGGTATAGGCCTAGGGACTTCTGATTATAAAAGTCGGTGAGGCGCTTGTGTGGCACAGCCCTTTTTGGAGAATGACAGGGAGGCAAGCCCTCATCACTGTCAGGACCTTTTCAGGTCAAAAACCTCCACAGCCTTGGGCCTGGAGCATGCCTCTGCTCGTTCATTAATAGTTGATTGTTATCCTTCTAATAGTTCATAATTACCACCCTGGGAAACCTGTCTCACATCCTTTTCTCCTGCAGCTACACCAACTGTCCATTTTTCTTATCCCCACCCACAGCCCTAATGACAGGGGACATGGTCTAACCACTAGAGTCCTCAACCAGGACGCTGAAGGCCGACTATAGGGAACCTCGACGTCCTTGCAAGGAGTTCGGGGTGACTGAAGAAAGGGGTTCAGAAAGCCAGGCGCGGTGGGAAGATAGGATGAGGGGTTCATCTGCGCAAACCACCCCAGTCTCCGAGGTCTTCCGCGCCACCTAGCGGCCGCCGCCTTGAAGCGGAGAACAGACTGGATTCCCCGAGGATCCCGGGCTTGCGGAAACCGGTCCCCTCGGGGCACCCGAGCGGGCTGGGGGCCACCCAGACTGGAGAACCAGGACCGCGCAGCCCGGGGAAAAGCACGTCTCTGGATTCGGGTGGGTCCCACGACACTCGCGAGACCCCGGCCCGGTGCACAGGCCCCTTCCCGGGGCAGACGCGGGGCCCGGACGCTGCGGGGCTCCCGGCAGTGTAATGAGCATGCGCGCGCGCCCGCCGCTCCACGCGGGCCCCGCACCGCCGCGCGCGCGCACGCTCTCCGGGACGCTCGCCGCGCCAGCCCGTCCCGGGAGCTGGCCACCCCGAGGGAACAGGGCAGCCTCGCGCGGCGCAGTCACGCGGGCGCCGCCTCACACGTTTCCGCCCTCATCGCGAGCGTGAGACGCCGCCGCCGGGGCCGCACTTTCCCACGGGCGACCCCCTAGAGGGCGGGGCGGGGCGGCGGCTCCGGCGGCTCACAGAACAGCCGGGGGGCGCCCGGCCTGGCCGCTCCCACCTGCGGCTGCGGCTGCGGCAGCCAATGGGATGCTGGCCCGGTGATGTCATGCCCTTAGCCGACCCCGGGGAGGAATGTCCGAGGTCACCCGCCGGAACCGGCGCAAACCCACCCAGGGGTTCCCGAAGCTTCCACTGCGGTGGAGTGCGTCCCCCCTCCTCTCCATCATGGGGGTCCCCTTCATTTCCACTTGTGCGTCCCCCCTCCTCTCCATCATGGGGGTTCCCTTCATTTCCACTTGTGCGTCCCCCCTCCTCTCCATCATGGGGGTTCCCTTCATTTCCACTTGTGATCTGATGTCCACATCTTCATTTCCACTGTGGTGCCAAAGAATGTCCCCTGTAACCTTTTCTCCACCAGGGCCGCCTGGTCCTCTGAGGGGGTCACATGGTCCTTTGAGGGGCCGCCTGGCCCTCTGAGGGGGCCGCCTGGTCATCTGGGGAGCCACCTGGTCCTCTGAGGGGGCCGCCTGGTCATCTGGGGGCCCGCCTGGTCCTCTGGGGGTCACATGGTCCTCTGGGGAGCGCCTGGTCCTCTGGGGGGCCGCCTGGTCCTCTGGGGGTCACATGGTCCTCTGGGGGGCCGCCTGGTCCTCTGGGGAGCGCCTGGTCCTCTGGGGGGCCGCCTGGTCCTCTGGGGGTCACATGGTCCTCTGGGGGGCGCCTGGTCCTCTGGGGGGCGCCTAGTCCTCTGGGGGTCACATGGTCCTCTGGGGGGGGCCGTCTGGTCCTCTGAGAGGGGCGCCTGGTCCGGGCCCGCAGGCCACCCTGCTGGGTCGTGGCCGGGATGCTGATTTACTGGGTCCCCAGCCTCGGACGGAGCTGCCACCCGCCGTGTCCGGGGTGTCCGTCTATGAGTGTCTGTCCCTGCGTTTGTCTGTCTGTCCCTACGTTTGTCTGTCTGTCCCTGCGTTTGTCTGGGGGTCACCGCGCTTGTCTGGCGGTCACTGCATGAGGCCGTGACGGTCTCACGTCCGCCTGCGCTTTCTGTCCCCGGGGGCGTTTGCGCCACCGCCGCGGGGCTTTGGGTCTGCCTGTCGCCGCGTGTCTGCCCGTCTGTCGGCGGGCGGCGGTCACAGGGTCTCCGGTCTCCGCTCCGAGGGGGAGGAGAAGCGGCGGCCCCGGCGGCGGGGAGTGGCGGGGGCGGAGACAGTGGGCGGGGGCGCGGTGCGGGCCGGAGGGGTGTGTGCGGGGGGCCGGAGGCGGCGGCTGTCAGAGTCGGCTCAGCCTGCGCGGGGAACGTCGGCCGCCTCCCGCTCCCGGCCCGGCTCGGCCGCCTCAGGTGAGTCTCCCGGACCCTCCCCGGCCCGCGGCCCCTTCGGCGAGTGGGACGCGGGGCCTTCCCGGCGGGATCCGGGCCCCTGATCCGGACGCCCCCGGGCCTGCCCAGAGACGCCCCTCCGCCGCCGCGCCACACTCCGCCTTCTCTCGGAGCTCGCCGCCGAAGACGTACGGCCGCCGGTGCGGGAGCCGGCACCCCGCAGGGCTGGCCGCTGCCTCAGCTCCCGACTTCCTCTGGGGACCCCCCCGCCCGAGCGCCCAGTACCCCGTTAGTCCTCAAGTCTGAGGCCACTGGAAGACGCCCCCTGCTTAGGGCGGAACCCAGGCCGCGCAGGTTCCCGGCGCCCGGCTGCATCCCCCACCCCCACCCCGCCGATCCCGCGACCCCGGCGCCCTTACGAAGCGCCGGGCGAAGCCCCCTGCCTGGCCCAGGCATCCCCCTCCCACGGGGACTCCGTCTCTATTTTGGGGGAAGGAGAAGCTCAGCGGAAGCCCCGAGTTATAATTAGCCCCACTCGGGTTTCCTAGATAATCTCATCCCCACCACCACCACCACCACCACCACCCCAGCTCAGGGCGGCGGGGGCTGGGAGAGGGGTGACCGCCGCGAGAAGGGGGGAGTTCCGACTCGGGGAATTTTGATCCCTTGGCTGGAGATGCCGGAACAACAGCAGCTGCGGCCCCAAAATAGCGCCCCCGCCCCCTGCAGCCGGGGATCTCCGGAGCTTGGAGAACACAGGCGTCCCGATTCGCCCTTCAGACTCCTCCGTAATGCCCTACAGCCCTCAGACCCCCTCCCCAAGTTTTCTGCTCCTTTACTTGGGGCGGGGAGCGCCGTTATTTTACGGTCTCTACTGCTCCCCGCTGGCAGCAGTGTGCACAGCATCATCAGACCAATGAGGGATGAATCCTGGGGTCCAAGGCTGGTGAACCCGTTCTCCGAGGCTAGGCGACAGGGGTGCCCAACTGATGGGCACCCACGGGTACCAACACGCTGTGCCAGACCGTGGGATAGGCGGGCTGGGCGTGGCAGGGTGTGGAGTAGGTAGGATTTGGGGTGCCCCAGGACCTGGGGCTCTCACATCCTGAATGCCCAACCCACCCTCCAGGGCCACAGCCCTGGCCAACGCAGGAGAAGCTGTACCTTCACGCCACCGCAGCCACCGCACGCACGCACGCTCGCGCCCCCATTGGCACCTCCCATCATCGAGGGCTCCACCCCTGTCCGGTGGCCTGTACGTGGACTGCAGCCTCACACTGGGCCCAATCCAGCCCACCCAGCTGGGGGAAGGAGGTGAGGGCGGTGGGTCCTCTGTGGGTCAGGGAGGGTATGCTTGGCAGATCTCATCTCAGTTCCTTCCATCTGTCTGGCTGGCTGTGAATGGGCCTGATCTCTATCCTCCTCCTGCTTCTCACTGTCTGTCTGCCTGTGTCCTTGTCTCTGCTTGTCTGTCTCCTTCCCTCCATTTCTCTCCTCCTCTTTGCCAATCTGCCCCACCCCCTCTGCAGCTTAGCGATAACCCCTGGGCAAGAGTGTTACCTAATCTCCTCCTGGCAGCCTCAGGCCTTCACCCTCTGCCTTTCTTTCTCCTAACAGCCGCCTGCCTGCCTTGGCAGCCATCTGCCTGCCTTGGCAGCCATGAGGCCCCCATGGTGTCCCCTGCATACTCTCTTCCCACCGTTCCCACTTCTCCTCCTCCTCCTCTTCCTCCTGGGAGGAGGGGCAGAGGCTGAGCACCCGGAGGACCCAGAGCTGCTGGTGATGGTGCGTGGGGGCCGGCTTCGGGGCATCCGCCTAATGGCCCCTGGGGGCCCTGTCTCTGCTTTTCTGGGCATCCCCTTCGCAGAGCCACCCGTGGGCCCCCGTCGCTTTCTGCCACCGGAGCCCAAGCAACCCTGGCCAGGGGTGCTAGATGCCACAGCCTTCCGAAGTGTCTGCTACCAATACGTGGACACCTTGTACCCTGGCTTTGTGGGCACCGAGATGTGGAACCCAAACCGTGAGCTGAGTGAGGACTGCCTCTACCTCAACGTGTGGACACCGTACCCTCGGCCTAAGACCCCCACTCCTGTCCTCGTCTGGATCTATGGGGGTGGCTTCTACAGTGGGGCCACCTCGCTGGATGTGTATGATGGCCGATTCCTGGCCCAGGCAGAGGGGACCGTGCTGGTATCCATGAACTACCGGGTGGGAGCCTTTGGCTTCCTGGCCCTACCAGGGAGCCGGGAGGCACCAGGCAATGTGGGTCTTCTGGATCAGAGGCTGGCCCTGCAATGGGTGCGGGAGAACGTGGCAGCCTTCGGGGGCGACCCAATGTCAGTGACTCTGTTTGGGGAAAGTGCAGGTGCCGCCTCTGTGGGCATGCACTTGCTGTCCCCACCCAGCCGGGGCCTGTTCCACAGGGCTGTGCTGCAGAGCGGTGCACCCAATTCGCCTTGGGCTACGGTGGACATGGGAGAGGCCCGCCGCAGGGCCACGCTACTGGCTGGACTCGTGGGCTGCCCCCTAGGTGGGGCTGGTAGCAATGACACAGAGTTGGTCGCCTGCCTGCGGTCACGGCCAGCTCAGGCCCTGGTAGACCACGAGTGGCATGTGCTGCCTCAGGAAAGTGTCTTCCGCTTCTCTTTTGTGCCTGTGGTAGATGGAGACTTCCTCAGTGATACCCCGGAGGCCCTCATCAACACTGGAGATTTCCACGGCCTGCAGGTGACTAGTGGCTCGAGCGGGTACAGCTGGTTCCTCTATGCCTGTTCTCCCACCTACCTACCTACCCACCCTACCCCTGGGGGCACAGGCATGGGGGCTCCTCAAGACCCACTTCCAGAGGCTTCTCTTCCCTGAGGGTCCAATCCCAGGGTGGCCAGTGGGACAGAGAGGAAGAAAATGTGGGTATATTTTCTCCTCTCCATCCCCCAGTCTCATACTCTCTACCTCCGTGGATCTGGGTCTGTTAACTGTCCATCTCTCTGACTCTTTGTCTATCTGTTTCTGTCTGCCTGTCTGTCTGTGTCTGCCTCCACCCCCACCCCATTCCTTCATCCTGTTCCCCTAGGTGCTGGTGGGTGTGGTGAAGGATGAGGGCTCCTATTTTCTGGTTTACGGGGCCCCAGGCTTCAGCAAAGACAACGAGTCTCTCATCAGCCGGGCCCAGTTCCTGGCCGGGGTGCGGGTCGGGGTCCCCCAGGTGAGTGACCTGGCTGCCGAGGCTGTGGTCCTGCATTATACAGACTGGCTGCACCCTGAGGACCCAGCACGCCTGAGGGAGGCCATGAGTGATATGGTGGGTGACCACAATGTCGTGTGCCCTGTGATTCAACTGGCTGGGCGACTGGCCGCCCAGGGTGCTCGGGTCTATGGCTACTTCTTTGATCATCGCGCATCAACGCTCTCCTGGCCCCTCTGGATGGGGGTGCCCCACGGCTACGAGATCGAGTTCATCTTTGGGCTCCCTCTGGATCCCTCGCTAAACTACACCACTGAGGAGAGAGCCTTTGCCCAGCGAGTGATGAAATACTGGGCCAACTTCGCCCGCACAGGGTTAGCAGTGCCAAAGGGAGGACCACCTCCGGGAGCCAGGGAGGCTGGGGGGACAAAGAGAAAGGGGGAGGAAGACAAGCAGAGACAGAGAGGAAGGGCCAGAAAGAAAGGGGAAAGTTCACAAAGGAAATGAGACAAAGGAGGAGGGGAAAGGAAGGAGAAAGTGGGATGGCAGATCCTGAAGAATCAAGGCAAAGAGAATAGAGGGACAAGGAGAGACAGAGTTACCATAGCAGTTAGGAGGGTGAACCGTAAAGCCAGATTTTATTATCTGGCATACACACACACACAAATACACTTTACCTATCTGAAGAAGGGGACAATAAATCCAGTGTCACATGGGTGTTATCAAAAGTAAATGTGATGTTTGTAGAGATAGGACTGAGCCTTGTTACATAACAAGAGCTCAACAAATCAATTTTTTTAAATGAGAGAAACAAAGGTCACGACGGGGCAGAACTGAAGGAAATGGAGAAGAGAGACAGAGGGCAGGAGGAAGGGGAAGTCTCCAGACGAGGGATACTGGAGAAGAGAAAGAAGGGTTAGGGCAGCAGTGGGAGGGAAAAGGTGGGGCTCCTCTTGGAGCTTAGAAGGCATGGGGTCTGGAAGCACCTGCCTTCTCCTCCTCTCCATCTCCAACCCCCAACCTCAGGGTGGGGCAGGCTTAACTGAGGCTGAACCTTCCCTTTCTTTCACAGGGACCCCAATGACCCCCAGGACCCTAAAGCCCCGCAGTGGCCACAGTACACGGGGGTAGCGCAGCAGTACGTGAGCCTAAACCTGCGGCCTCTGGAGGTGCGGCGGGGGCTGCGAGCCCAGGCCTGCGCCTTTTGGAATGGCTTCCTACCCAAATTGCTCAGCGCCACCGGTATGTAGGGCCAGTGGGCAGGGGCTGGGCGAAGGGGCAAGAAATGGGGCGTGGAGAAATGGGAGTGGAAGCCGCCGGCGGGGTGTAACCCCTCTCTCCTCCCCACCAGCCTCGGAAGCTCCCAGCACCTGCCCAGGCCCCGCCCACGGGGAGGCTGCCCCGAGGCCCAGGCCCGGCCTCCCCCTGCCCCTCCTTCTTTTCCTCCTCCTCCTCCTCCTCCTCTCCCGGCTCCAGCGGCTGTGACCACAGCCCCTTCCCCCTCCGGCCTCTGGGGGCCCCTCTTCTAATGAGTTGTCGGACCTGGGGGAGGGCCCCACTCAGGGATCTCCGACCCAGTGCCCCTGCCTCCCTCAAACCAAGAAGCTCAAACTAGACAGGGCATGGGGAGGGTTGACCTACGGTCCGTCTCAGGGACTCACACACCTTTATGGTTTAAATGGAAATGGAAAAGTTCATTTTATTTTTTTATAAAATTTATTCCTTGGAGCCCGAGACTGGTGTTGGGGGAGAGGGAAGACTCGGGGCTAGATAGCAACTCCCAGTGGGGCTATAACCGTCAACCATTTCTGTCTCTTCTCTTTTCCCCATCAACCCATTGATGCTTCCCGCCTCTGATCCCTTCTGTCCCCTTGTCTTCCGGTCATTTTCTCCCCCTCTCTCTTCCCTTCCGCCAATCCTTCTCCGGCCCCACCTCTACCCTCATCCTCCCTGGTCTTTCGTGTTTCTCCTATCTACCTAATCCTCTTTCCACCATCCCACATGCCTCTCCTTGTGTACTCCTGCACTCACAACCCCCACCCCGACCTTCTCCACATCCTCCTCCCACCCACTTGTCGGGCGCCGGGCCGCAGACACGCTGGACGAGGCGGAGCGCCAGTGGAAGGCCGAGTTCCACCGCTGGAGCTCCTACATGGTGCACTGGAAGAACCAGTTTGACCATTACAGCAAGCAGGATCGCTGCTCAGACCTGTGACCCAGGCGGGACCCCCGCGTTCCGCCGCCCTACCCGCCCCTCTTAGTCCCCAAGTTGTATATACTATTTATCTAAGGGCTGGGATATTACAGAGGAGCCCTAGACCCACCCCAACTTTTCCCCGGAGCTTCTGGTCCTCTGCATGTCTCGGCCGAGCCCCCTACCCCGTGGTGCCTTCGACCCTATGGGCTGCCAATAAACTGTTACAGCCAAAGGTGTGTGCGCGACTGGGAGCGGTAGGGCAGAATGCCTCACCAACTGGGCCGAGGGAATGAAGGGGTGGTCGCTGGGACACAAGGCGCCGCCCCGCAGAGAACTCGCGTCTGCGCAGTAAGAAGGGAGGGGCGGTGGGCGGGGCAGCGGTGCATTGTGGGAAGCCCACAGCCACTTGGTCCGCAGGGCCTATCCTGATTCCTGCTGCCTGGCGATATTGTCAGAACCTGTGCGCCGGTCCTGCCCGCAGCTCACTCAAGACCCAGGCCGGGCCGAGAGTAAGTGCTAGATCCTGAATTCTCCTAGGAGTTCACTCCACGCCGCCAGACGCAACTAGCAACTTCTGCCCTAACTCGGTAACTCCGCTCCTGCCCACCGCCCTGGAGCCACTGAAGGACGTGCATCTGGGCCTTGCGCCACCCGGCCACGGCCCCGCTCGCCTAGCCATCCTCTCGGGCCACTACCTCTACTATCACTATGGCTGCGACGGCTTGGACGACCGGGGCTGGGGCTGCGGATACCGAACTCTGCAGACGCTGTGCTCGTGGCCACATGGCCGGCCCGTGGGTGTTCCCGGATTGATGGAAGTGCAGGCCGCATTGGAGGACATGGGTGACAAGCCCCCTGGGTTCCGGGGCTCCAGGGATTGGATCGGCTGTGTAGAGGCCAGCCTCTGCCTAGAGTACTTCAAAGGACCCCAGGGGCGCCTCTGCCACGTTCCCCGTGGAGCTGGGCTTCAGGGGGAGCTGGAGAGACTTCACTCCCACTTCGCAGGAGGCGGAGGGCCTGTAATGGTTGGGGGGGATGCGGATGCGCAGTCTAAGGCCTTGCTGGGAGTCTGTCTGGGGCCAGGCACCAAAGCTTTCGTCCTGGTATTGGACCCTCACTGCTGGGGTGCTCCAAAAACCCCCACTGAACTACAGATTGCTGGTTGGGTGGGCTGGCGAGAGGTGAGCACAACATTTGACTCCAACTCCTTCTACAACATGTGTTTGACCAGCTGTAACTCAGAAAAGCAGCTGCCTACCCAGGACTGATAGCCCCAAAACAGGACTGTCTCTGGCCTCACACACTCAAGGGCAGAGGCTTGAGACTGCAGCATCCCAGGCCCCCAGGAAGTCCCAGTAGAGCCTGGAAACTGGCATCAATAAAGTAGCAAGGCCCAGCTTAACCATTGCCCCAGCAAAGTTTGGGAGGATTTGGGGATGTATATAATAAACATTTGGTCAGGAATCACTGCAGAAGTGCTTTTATTGGCAGTAGGGCTGGACGTACAAAAAATTCTGAGAGCTGGATGGGACAAGGCAGTCATAAGTATAAATGGTACTGAGAGTGAGGGAAAGTCGATGGCTCAAAAGAAATCCACATCATCTGGAGCATCCAGGTCACGGTATTCAACAATGGCCCGTGGATCTCCACGGACCATCCTGTGAGATAAAAAAGAGGTAAAATGGGATGAGTTGAGGGTCCCAGTTTGAAGAGGGCCAGAAAACTTGGACATCTTATCTCATTCTCACCTGTTTCGAGGTTTCCCAGGATAACCTCCCTGGCCTCGGAAGACATCATAGTTCCCTCGGCCAGCACCATAAGGGGCATGAGGATATGGAGGCCCTCCTGTGGGGACTGCAGGGCGGACAGCACCAGCTATGAAAAAGATCAGTGTTGAGTTGAAAACCTATGCCCTCAATTATATCTTAGCTGCTTTCTCCCTACCCCTCAAAACCACCAAGCCCTTTCAAGACCTTCCTATACTTACCTCCATACCCCAAAATAGGAGGCCGGGGCTGGCCATAGGGCATCAGGCTCTGGGGAGTCTGGTGTGGGTAGGGGAGTCCTGGAGTCAGGCCTGGGGGGAGTACAACACGGACAGGGACATGAATTACTGGGGAAGGAGGTTTGGGGATAGACAGGACAAACTAGCTGTTAGGAATATGGCCAGAAAGGTAAGACAACTTTTTCAGAGGACAATAGGATAAAGAACAAGGAGTCCTTAAAGAGGCAAGGGAGAGTGAATGTGGCAGACCCTCATGGATCGTATCTTACTCTGGGCAGGACCAGGTGGCTGAGCTGGCTTGATCTCAGGCAGAGCTGGGCGCTTAGCATCAGTGAGAAAGTTGTTAAAAAATGCTACCTCCTTCTTCACTTCCTCAATTTTCTCCGAATGCTTATTGAAGATATGTTTGCGTACAAACTCGGGTCCCTGGATGCAGGAGAGAGAGTCAGACTGAGCAAGCAGTTCCCTAATTCCCTAGATCCCACAATAGTCACCCTTCCCTCCCACCTATCCCATAACTAATATCCCAGACCTTGAATTTCTTGCCACTGAGAGGGCATAGCCATTTATCCTTGCCCAGTTCCTGGGTGTTAGAGGTGACAAATTTTTCCACTTCCTGCTCAGGATCTTTGCGACCCATCTTCTGGGCCTCTTCCTCTGAAAGTGATTCCCGCACACTCAGCAGTGGAGTCAGCTTCTCCTCAAATGTCTTCTGCCACTCTAGAACTGTGGTTTGGGAAGAGGCAGACAGCAGGTTGGAGGAAGTCAGAGCAAGGAATAAGCAAGGAGGGGATTAGAGGAGAAGGTGACAGAGCACTGCTCCAGAGCAGAACTAAAACAGAGGCAACTAGAGAGACAGGGGCACTAAAGGGGAGCTCACCTTCTCCATGACTGATGCGGTTGGGTGGCATAGGTCCCCGAACATGGATAATGCCACAACGGTTGGGCATTTCATCCTCATTGGGGTACTCGCATGTGTTATAATAATCCAGGGAATGCACAATGCGCAGATAGAGGAGTAGTTTGTCCAAAACCTAAGAGGAATGAAAAGCCATGAGTTCACACTCACCATATATCACCCCAAGCCAAGCTCTCATCCCACTCTGCTCTCACTGGCACCTTGATCAGCTTCTCATCTCGTTCCACGTTGATCTCTGCTGGGTTTCCTTCCTTAGGAGGCTCCTCCGGGGGGGCCCCGCCACTACTCCCCAGCAGCTCTTCCTCCTCAGCACTTACTTCCTCAATCAGGTAGTCCGTGATATTCTTCAAGATTGGATTCTGAGAGGGCAGGCTCTGGTCAGGAGGGAGAAGAAAAGCAAGTGAGGCAGAGGAAGTCCCTTCTGGTAGGTAGCCTGGGAACCTAATTCGAAAGGCAAGGTGAGGCTGAAAGAATTCAAGGCTCACTTGGCCTGTTACCGCTGCCTCAGGATTTGTCTTCATGTTTGTATTTGCTCTACAAATTAGCCCACAAATAATCACTAACACCAATCTGTTCTGCTGGAAGACCAGAGATGCCCACAGATGAGGGGGTATTGGCTGCTTTTGAAAAAGTTCTATGGAGAGTCACTGACTGTTGGCAGAGGAGGTGTCCCAGGCTCAGAGGCCCAGAGCTGGGTCCTGTCGTCCAAAGTATGGATCAGCTTGGCTGCCAGCTTAATGTCATTGCGCACTATCTGCTTGTGTTGAGTAATGCCATTGATGTTGCGGACGCGACGGGTCAGGTCTCTGTTCACGCCAGGACTCAGCTCACACTCCCGGAGCTGGAAAGAACAGAAAGCTTATCAACACTTGCCCAAGAAGCAGCAACTCAAAAAACTGGCCCTATTGAGAGCACCAGTGATTAGACTGAGTTCCCTGAGGACAGGGATCAAGTGTGTTAACCAAAACAGTCCCAGAGCCCAGCCCAGAGACAACAGCACACAATTAATGTGAGCAGACTAAACAGATGAAATAGGGCAGAATGAAAGAATAGAGGGCGGATAGAAAGAAGCAATCAATGAACAAAACATTCGGAGGTGTGCAGCATAGGAAGCCGCACTTCTTCCTCAAAGCAGTCCTGCTCCCAGTACTCACTCGGATATTCTGCAAATTCCAACAGATCTCTTTGATGTTAACACTGCGGTCAAATGTCACCCAGCCACGACGGAAAAACCTAAACAAGAACAAAGATGTCAACATAATCCTGGAGTGAAGGTGATATTGGCCATTAACCTTCCCCGTGCACCTTTTCTTCAAAGTATCCAGGGTCACACTTCTCTCCATCCCTCACCTCCTCTCAGGCTGGGGCTCTGATAATGCCACACGCATAAAGCCCGGATATCTTTTACAAAGCTGGAAAAGCAGAAGAACAGAAACCCCGTTAGTAATTTAAGGAGTCACATCTTCCTTCAATCCCCCCCATCCCCGGGACCCTAGGGAACTGCTTTTTGTCTTTACTCAGACAAGGGAAAAACAACAAAGAGCTTCAGAGTAACAGCACTTAAAGGCAAATGGTTCAACCAGGACCAGCCCTGGAAAGGCATGGGCCCGTGGGAAAAGAGACTCCCTATTAGAGAAATAGGGATGTATATCAGAAGCAGTGTCAGATTATCTTCTCCCCACCTAGTATACCCCCCCTTGGCTCCCAAATTCTTCCCCCACCCAACCTCAGGCAAAACATGAAGCTTGGGTGTGGTCCCTGCCCCCAATGCATTTTCCCCACTCACAGAAATGATCTCAGCCCGGGAAATGTTAGGAGCGATGTTGCGCATAAAGAGAGAGCAAGTCTTATGCAGAGGCCGGGGTTTACATTCCACCCCAGGAGCATCCTTGGGCTTCTCCCTTTCTTCTTCCTTGGACTTCTCCTTTTCCTTGAGTGCTTCTTCTATGCAGGAAATGGTGGGAGTTAGTGAGTTTTTATTGTTGATTTTGGAGGAGATGGAGAAGCTGTCAAACTCCCATCCCATCTCCCCCAAGCCCTTCTCTCCCAAAAAACCACCCTCCCATCAATTTCACCAACTTCTCACCTCCCCCACCATTCATAGGAAGAGAATGGACTAGAAGAAAATAAAACCTACCAGCCTCCTCCTTCTCCTCCTCAGCTTGGCCACTCTCTGACTCTGACTCCGACTCCGACACACTGCCTTCGTCAAAGCTGTCATCACCACTGTGCTTCCTATTCCGCTTCTTGCTACTCTGTGGGAGCCACAGCAAGAAGAGATGAGCCAGACAACCAGGACCCCAGTCCTGACACTGACCACATGCAAAAGATCCTCTACCTTTTTGGCTTCTTTTTCAGAGTCTTCTTTCTTCTCTTCCTTGTCCCCATCACCCTCAGATTTCTTAGTTTTGTCATCACTACAACTGCCATTTTCAACCTACAGGTAGAGACAGTCACTGGAATGTCCATTTCCCCAACAATCTTTATCAAAGGAGCCCTCCCACCCTCAACAACTGAGCCTAGAAGTTCCCCTCTCCCCCACCCAATACACAGCCCTCTAGTTCTAGCGCGAGTGGACTCCAGCACAATTGAAACAGTTCCGTTCTCTTCCCCCGGCACTCACAGGCAGCACCAGGGGCCCCAGCACTCAGACCTGTTTGCCATCTTCTTTCTTGTCTTCCTTCTCATTGGCCTTGCGCTCTCCATCCACCAGGCCTGGTCCAGCCCGCCCTTCCTCTTTCTTGCTGGGCTCCCCAGGCTTTCCGGCCTGTTCCTCCTCCTCCTCCTGCTCCAGGATGCGTAGATCATTCTCTGTACCTCCTTCCATCTTAATCACAGCTACCAACAAAGGGAACAGAAATCACAATCCAATGGTCCTAGCTTTCAGCCTCTGGTTTTGTCACTGCTTCTATTTCCCAAGCAAGATCTTGGCCACCAGACACCCACTGCCACACCAACCCACACACCTGCATCCAGCATCTTGACAATGGCATCAGCCTTGTCTATGTCCAGGAGAAGATTATCAAACCAGCCACTCTCCATGAGGGACAGGAATACCCTTAGTCGGTTTTGCAGGGCCCCTCGGGCCTCCTGCCGACGCTTCCCCACCTCATCTGGGTGGTACTTAGACCGAAACCTACAAAGGAAGTGGGAAGGGAAGAGACAAAATAGTCACTGGAGGCCAGGGCCAGAACATGGGGAGGGGCCCACGAAAATCAGAACTTTGCCCCCATCCTCTCATACCCATAAAAGATCATAAAAGCAGAGATTGGGGAGAGGGGTATAATAAAACACTCAATACCCCCAAAGAAACAAGAGGTTATTTTCTGAGAGGATTTGGGGGA